GGAAAAGCGCTATATAAGTGTAAGCAATTATTATTATCATACAATACTGAATTTTTCCAGTTTTGTTTTAACTGCTCTGCTAGTCTTTATCTTATGTTTTCTATTTAATTCATGTTTCACCTTACTGGTACAGAAAAGTACCCATCCTGCACATTGATTGGAATATTTTCCAAGTCCTTTCTTGCTGTAAAGAGCCCACCATTTCAGCAACATGTCTGGAAGCTGCTTCAGACCTCCTGAACTGCAATTTACAGCCTGTCTCCATCTTTCACTTTTGGCCCCGAGTCCTCTTTCAGTTATTAAGCTCCAGCTTGTAACAAGGTCGGTTAGGTGACTGAAAGGTGGATAGAAATGTGAAGTGTCTCCTGAAGAGCTGTAGTGATCTCCTGTGCGTTCCAGGCCTGCATGTGAAAGCCCACGTGGTGCTGTGGGAGAGGAGTGCTGGAGAGTCTGCTGTGAGCCTTAGACTGCGATACGTACAGTAGTAGGAGAGCAGGGGACTAGCAGGTACCACTTGCATGAGAGACAGGCATACACAGGTGATCTGTCCATGTGAGCCCTCTGCACCACTGTCAGAACACCCACATCCACCTGCTGTAGCCTGTGCAGAGGAGCGATGTTTTAAGGTTAGGGTTAAAATGAGGGTAAGCTCAGAGATCTTCAGCCCTGATCCCGGAGAGCCGTTGCCCGTCTCCCGTTTTAAAACCCAGAATCATCAATAAATTAATGATGGATCAAGGTGAACAGTGCTCGGGCTCTGGTTACAAGTAATCTCTACATAACTTAAATCATCTGTTTTATCAATCACAATGAAATGATTTCCACTATTAGGAAACGTTCGATTCAATGTGGAGCTGTAAATTGTGTTCCCAAAGGCTCTCTGGGATGAGAATCTGAGATCCCTGCTTTAGAGACCCAGTTAACTTTAAGGTTATTAAAAGGGCTAAGAGTACAGGTTGGACTAGAGACGGGGTATTCGTGGTAGATGGAAATTCTTCTCTTGTTTTCCCAACTTCTCCTGTGGTGTGGCCACAGATACAATGGCTTATTGTCCTGGTGTGGTGAGATGAAGCACTGTCCTTCAGGAATGTTCATATGAGCACGAGTGAACACTCAGCCCTGCAGCATTATCATCAAAAGGGGGTTTTGTATCCCTGCTCTTAGAATAACACAATTTTCACTTCCAGAAAAGCAAAGTGTGTGTAGTCAAACGGTTTGGGTGTTAGTACGTGCCCTGTGTCTGAGATCATGTTTTTACATCTGGTGAACTTCGAACGCAGTGTCCAAGCACCAGACGAGCCCCTGACAGGCAAGCGCTGTGTGCGGCCGGGGGTGAGACCGCAGACGGCACAGAATTTGTCCCTTTTGAGAGGAAATCCTGGGATGTGCTCATCCCTGAGCACTTTTCCAATGTTGTTACTGGCCGGCATCTGTCCGAATCATTGCCGCCTCACGTCCCTTTGCTCCGCAGACAAGATTGCGCAGGGGAGCTGTCTGACAGGAGCGAGCCGCTCTCTCTGGCCCTGGGTTATTTATCCTGAATCGCAACCGTCGCTCCCGAGTTCGGGAGGAAAGCAGACAGGCAGCAGAGGTGGGAGGTAAAGACAACAGACTTCGGAGTGAGCAGGCCCTTTTCATGCTGTGAATTCACTGGAAAGAAGGACAGAATTCCAGTCTGAGGAGTCCGAACCAGAAGTTAAAACTGAATAAGACAGAGAAATAAGACAACAATTCTTAATGACTTTTTAGGTACGATTTTGGAATAAAGTATTAATGACCACTAAACAAATGGAATGCTTCTAAAAGCAATTTGAATTTATGTTAATGTGTTAATGTGTATGTCTGTCTGTGGTGGAAATGTGTGACTAATATCTGATGGAACTGTGAAATCTGCAACAGTGAAAAGAACTGTTAACTTGTTTCTGAGCACCAGAAAAGACAGCGGTCAAGCAGTTTCTCACGGCTCTTGGCAAAGAGATTGGTGAAGTACAGCTTTAAAGATTTACTTCATTCTCTCAACACCGCTAAACTTGTGATTTCCTGACGAATATGAATGAAGGTAAATACGTAATGAGATTTTTATACTGTGGTTAATTGCGATCAGGTTTAAAGTTAGAATGCAAACAACTATTTTCGATTAGGATTAAACTCAGGTCTGCCTGTAGCTCCAGAAAAAGAAGTGCTGTTCCACCTTGCTGGACTCTGGCTGGCACTGAAGATGGGTACTGACCCTCTCTGCTCTGTTCTATTGTGTGGACGAAGGCAGAACAGGACTGAATGTCTGCCAGGGATGCACAGAACTGTGGCGTAAATTGGCCATGTATTGACCTCATGTACAGTATGTGTGGCAGTCAATTGCAATGTCAATGTGTTAATGCTCACATGCCTAAATAGAAATTGTTGAAATGCCCGGTACGCAGTCCATTTCAGTGCTATCTCCTCTCCTGCCTAAATGCATGTGTGCAGAAGTCCATTTTCACCAAGGGATTGTAGGTAGAGTAACAGTACACCAGGCATACAATATTCACACTTTAATGCACCGGGCAGGGCTCCTGTAAGAACAGTTCTCTCCTATCCCTGGGCTAATCAAGAAAATAAGTATGAGTAGGTGATGCAGTGCAGAAAAAACTTATCTTTTTTCCATGTGACTGGCCTGGTACAAAAGAGTCATCTTTTCCCAATTAAGCTAATGTACCTGGAGAGCTCCACGCACAAACAGAGGGGTCTGGGGCCTGGGGCCAGGATTAGTGGCTGCTGCTCACCCTGTCACAGAGGGAGCCAGTGTAAGGAGTAGCTAATTAATGAAAGTCAAGGAATGTCTGGAGCAAAACGGATGAGAAACACCCAGGCACCTGTCTGTCTGTTAACAGCCATTTGCAGATGAGCTCAATGATATCAGCCCGAGAGTCTCAGAGGATGGCTGTCCGTTCTATGATTAATTGTGTTTAGTTAATGAAGTGAAAGGCACAGTCAATCTGGCTTGTCATAAAACACAAAACTGAGTGAAAAATACGGATCAGCATCTGTCTGTACCCCTTTCTTCCCTGTCTGATGCAGTTAATCCCACTGGAAATAACTCCCCTACCTCTGACTGACTTTGGAGAGAAAACACACTTGGGAATCACAGGACAGCTCTTGACTTGAGAGCTACAACAGAAAAAAAATATAAGGAATCATTAAAAACAAATTATTGAAATGCACAGTAGTCTATCTCATTTCTGCAAACATCACCTCCTAAGCACTCAGTTTCTCACTGGAAGGACTGGGCTGAATTATAGGAGAAACCCTGGTAACTGTTTATATTATTGTCAGTAATTCTATTAATATAGTAAGTACATTAATTGATAATTGAAAAAATATTAATAATAATTATTATATTATTAATTAACATCCTTACCAGTAATCACATTTTTCTCCCTAGCTCTACTGCTTGTGTGAAACTTGTGTAACATCACTTGATTACACTTACCTGGGATGATCAAATTACAAGTGGGTGTGTCATACAGGGATGAAAGTACATTTTGGAGGTATGTTTACTTATATACAGAAAGTACTAACAGTATTTTTGAGGTCCTTCCCCCTGGTTTCTCTTGATTGACAAGTGAGCTCCTATAAATAATGGTGGCAGTGCCATTTCTACAGCTCCTCCAAGAACAAGCCTCCCTGATCCCACTTCTGCAGAGAGCCCTGGAGTCCGGACCACAGATGCAGCTGTTAGGCCACAAAGTACTACGGTAAGGAAAACAGAAAAAAAAGTACTGTGAAGTACTGCCTCTCGCTACTGGGCAGGGCTGCTACTTTTGCAAAGTTATGGAGAATGGGCTATAACAACATGGTGAATGTGCAATACAGGAATGTCAACATGCATACTCTGCATCAAAATCATTTGCGTATTATCAACTAGAATTCGCTTGCATGTTTTGCAGTGGTTATAAGAGTGCAAAAACAGTAACAACACCCCCATTTCATAGCAATCTGGTCCTTTCATTAGTACTAATGGTACTAATGAAGCATACGAAACAAAAGAATGAAACGCATTATGAATATTTTATCTCCACATAATGATGATGTGTGTTTTTCTGCACTAAGGCAATAAGCATGAAATATCTAGATCTTTAAATATTAGAATCTGTGAGTGTGAGAGACTGAAATGGCCCAGTCTGCTATCTGTTAGTTGCTCTTCAGGGACAGCCTTTAGGGAGAAAGGGGATCCCTTTTGCGTCTTCATGCAGCTCTCGTTGCACTCTTCTGACTGTGTGGCAGTGGGGGAAGCCAGGGGCAGTTCGTCCTGTGCTCTCTGGTGATGCTCCTCGCTGCTCAGGCTCTGGCTCTGCAGTCTGGCATCAACCTGCGCCGCTTCATCGGATGTGCCGTGCGGGAGTTCACCTTCCTGGCCCGGAAACCAGGCTGTGGGACGCTGCACATCACTACGGATGCCTGCTGGGGGCGCTGTGAGACCTGGGAGGTAGGGAAATGTGTCACCTATTGCTTTGGAAGGTCTGTAAGCAGCTACGCTGCAACTAGTGTTAGTGTGCAGGCCCCGCAATATATACAGTACGTTTACTATAGATACAGTACCGGCTGGAACCAGAGTTTGTGACGTTAATTCTAGCCTTAAAAAATAGCCGGTATGCACTTTTGTAACAGAGATTGTGATTTTTTTAAAATGTTTTTTTAACTGAATTGCTGTGGAAGATTAGAAATGAAACACCACACCACAGGGCAGGAGAGGGAGGGAGTTCTGCTCTCCCCCGAGAGATCTAATCCAGCTGTGGGGCTGCTGCTTGGTTCCTAGTTTCACGCCTCTGACCCGGCAGTCAGAGGAGTTCTACTTCCCTGGGCAATGTTTGATTTGAGGGTGAAGTTGAATAAAGAAAAAAGAGAATATGAGGACACCCCACAGTTGTTGTGAAGCCGATGGTACCACCACAGCCGTTACCGGTTCTGGATTCTGCAGCTGACAAGTCGTATTTCTGTGGCAGACTCCTTCGTGCCTGTTCTTCTCCCTGTGGCTGTTACTCGGCCCTCTGCCTGCTCTGCTCTTGCCCTGTACTTGTATCTGCTGCCCTTTTCTGTCTCAATAGAAGCCTGTCCTGGACCCCCCGTATGTCGAGTCCTACCAGCGAGTGTGCACCTACAACGAAACCAAGCTGGAGACGGTGAAACTGCCCAACTGCTCCTCCGGTGTCGACCCTTACTACACTTATCCTGTGGCTGTCAGGTGTGACTGTGGGGTGTGCCACACTAGCACCACCGAGTGCGTCTCCTCTGTCTAACCAGCATAGAGCCAGTGGGCACAAGGATCGTCTCCAAAACTCACAGCATTGCTTATTGTCAAACTTTAACTCACCTACTGCAGGTATGGCACCACTGCTATCTTCTTGCTAGGGATGCTAAGCACTGAAACACTGGCAGATGGGGCACAAAACCGAATTCTAACTCCCCATTCAACTCCTTAATCCTCGGGCAGCAGTGCGGAGCTTTTGGTCAGGGTTCTGGACCTGGGACTTGAAGGCTGTGGGCTCAAAGCCCCGGTTGAGGCAAGGTACTCACCTGACCTTCTCCTGTAAAATAACCAGCTGTTTAAATGGATGCCACTTTAAGTTAAGTTGGGTAAAAGTGTCAGCCAAATCAATCAGTAATAATTCTATTTGCAGTATTTTAAATTTTGTCGCAAAGGCTTCTGAGGTGCAGAGCATCTCCAGCAGATGTGGGAATGTGCCTGAGCTCAGTGAACTGAAGCAGTGCTAGAAGGGCCTCTTTGCCAGCCAACATCTCAAGCTTTCTTTCTTTCATTCGTTCAAACAGTATATAACATTTTTTTCTGTTTTCAACAATCATATACAACAAACCACGTTTCCGAGTTTTTTTTTGCTTTCTTTCTTTATGCCCCACTTGGTCACAAAAACACATCACCTATCTATCACTGCATTCTTGGGAGAAACACCAACCTGCAGTTTTCATAGGTCGTCCTTATCGCCAGTGCATCCATCAGAGAATTTGAAAGAAGTCAGGTTTCAAATTTAACAGCTAATTTGCTCATTTGTTCATTTTGTTCAAGCCAGCAGTCGTCAGCTTTGCTCCAGGGATGCTAAACTGCAGGTACATTATTGAACTGAGCTGACTCCCTGCTACAGTAGTTTAAACCAGGTTGTTCCTGACCTTTAGATATGGATCATTTGAAAACCTATTACCGTGTGGTCACCAGTGTTAGTAGTGAAAAAAATCACCAACATGAAATGTTATAAATGCACAACAAGCCTTTAATACTAAATTGCCTATGAATAAAACATTTCTATATGAAAACAATCTGGATTTGTTATTAATCATCAGCCCATAGTAGTTATCACCAGGTATTTACAATCTGTTTTTTAATACAGGTTCTAAAGAATATGTAAATGTTTTTTACAACCTCTAATCTGGACTATTATTGAAGAATGTGTCTTAGTGACAGACTGTACTTCGTGGTTATGGGATCTTATTACATATTAAAAATGTCTTTTTTGTTATCTTTTGTTACCTATTGCTCTGTTCCTCATAAATGCAGAACATAACATCCACTTTCACCTGTTAATGTAAGGGGCATAACATATAGATCATTCAAGCATACCACCCCCCTTGACAATGAAGTGAAACTTTAAATAAAACAGACTTGAATTCTTACTGGTGTTGCATATTTTTAATTGCCATCAAAGTATTTACAGTATTTGAGAATTCAACTCAGAACAAACAAAGCAATGATAGTACACATTCACTACATGGGTACTGGAAATAAAAGGGAAAGAAACACTATATAATAAGTATATTTAAAACATTTAAATATTGTTTGCATTTTAGTATTCAAGTTATTGCTGTTACCAGTGTTAAACCTGGCTTTCAGGAAATATACAGTACAAAGCAGTTGCATAGCAAACAGGCACAGTGTTGCAAGTGCACATAAGTGTACATAGAATATCGCTACATAATAAAATGAAAATAAATGACCCTATTTTAAAGGAGCACTTTGTGCCCTCCATCTGTTGAAAAAGAAAACTAGCAACTACTAAATCCCGCTGTTCCTGAGATCATCTTAAAACTACTTACAAGCGATTTTGTTTTAGCCAGCCATTTAACCAATGTAGCCTAGGGTCACTTTTCTTTGCAGTAAATCGGTATTAACAGAAGTAGGCACACTCACAGATAAAGGACACACATACAGAATCACTGATCCAATGGGAGGCACTGCATATACCAAGCTTCCAAACTCCAAAGTTTCTGCAGTAGCTTGCTGAGGGAGGTTTTACCTGGTAAAGACCAGTGCTCCTGATCTCGGTCAGGCTGCACTATTACTTGAAATTGGGGGTACTTTTAAACATCGGATTTCCGCAGTGTAGGCACTCGCAATGCTTGGAAACAGAAATGCACCCACCTAAGGTCAATTGTTAGGTCTGTCAAATGCATAGCGTACCTTCAGTTTCTTCTGATCTATTGATCAAATGAAACAATTACACCTTTACAGAAAAAAAAAGACTAAGCTGGAAACCCATCAGGTTGTAGTGGAACGGAAATAATCAGTCATAGGCAGAAAGCCACTTCGCTGGAAGTGACAAGCTGTTTCCTTCTTCGCTTCAGATCTACCCTGTCCACACAAGGAAAGAGAGTGGCTGAGCTGCTCACAATATCTGCTTCCAGGTCTGTGTTTTCCTCTCGGAGCATCTCAATTGTTTAATTTCCAGTCTTCCCACTACAATAAAAAGCAGTCTTTGAAATGAACACTCTTCCCCCAGAACCCCTCAGAGACCCCCTGTGCTGCACATTTCCATGTCTCACGGGATCCGTTATTTGTACAGAACTGTGCTTCATGGGGAAAAAAAAAACTGTTGCTGATTTGCCACTCCTGTCAGATCAAAGGATCTGCGTACACAAAAGAAACCCTCCATTCGGCAGTCTATTTACTTCAAATTATACTAAAGGTTAATGACGGTGCTGTTTAAAAAAAACTCTAAAACCCCAAGTCCCACTCCCCTCTTCGCTGCTCTTTGCACTGAGACAAAGGTTTCTACTAAAAGGCACAAATTACAGTTTAATTCCTCAAGTCCACCTGTTGATAACAGGCCCTGCAGAATGCAGAACAATTTAAATAAGATTGCCATTCTCTCAGCCCATCAAGGCTGTTTTTTTTTTACTCCGAAGAAAGCTGCTGCTGAGAAAACGAAAGATCGGATCAGGCCATTTTAACAATAAGATGTAGAGTCACGTTAATCCGCTGTAGTACTAACATTAACAGCTAAGAAGATAGCGACAACAGCAGTGCCGCAATGTTAAAACTGGTCTGTAAAGAAACATGAACGATTCACAAACCAGTTCCTGATCACACTCACATCGATTTGAGACACCCGAGGTTAATCTGAGTAAGAAAGACCTAATGATGGAACTGGAAAACTCATTCCAGGCCTTTATTCGGCCTGTTCTGTGATGGTCAAAAATCTTGCTTCATCATGAAAATATAGAAATACAAGGGGTTGAAAAACAAAACAAAAAAAAGACAAATTTTTAAAACGAAACATTTCTGAAAATGAGGAAGTTAACAATCAAAGTTAAAGCATTAGTGAACAATGGCAGGCTGTGCTTGCTTATTCTAAGAATGTGTTAATAAGGAGTAAAATAGAATTGATTGTCAATAGCGATTGGAGGTTGTTAAAATCCACCTGACTCTTGATCTAACTTAATGCACACAAAACAAGAAAGAAAAAAACAAGATAAAACAAACATTTCATTAGTGCCAACATTTGGCCATAAATTTGCACACTGAAAGAACATTTAAACCCTTAAGAGATCAAATCCTTCAGTGTATAACAGGTTAGGTACCTCAGTTGTATTGTATTGATCAATAATAGGCTTTTGGTCTTTTTTTGACAAACTGGATCACTACAGATCAACTACAACAGAAATGGCACACATACTGTACCAAGTGGCTTTTATTTGAATGTATCAGGTCCCGTTACCGAAAAAGATTCTAACCAAGGACTTAAGGACATCAAAAGCTTAACATGGTACTGCAGTGTGGAGAAGGACAGGTACACTAAGAAAACTGCAGATGAGAAAGACATGGTATTCCTGTGAACAAGGCCAGACATAAACAAGTCTTCTGCAATATGGCTGTAGGCTCACAGCCCCACACTGCCTCATCCAAATCGACACCACGTCCCCTGCAAGCAAATGTGTACTTCTCTTTGGGTCATTTCTGAATTGACTGCGTACCACAAGTTGCAGCACAGAAATAGAAAACCACTCAAAGTACTGTATGTGAAACCTGTAGTAAATTCTAATTCAGGCATTTGGGCACAAAACAATCAGGGCACTCACCCAGGAACCCAACAGACACCATTTCTGCAACTAATAGTTTAGGGTTCCTAAGGAAAGAGCTTTAATCAAGAGCACTGTAAGGACAAAATCCAAGTTTAAAAACAGTTCCTCTTCCTGGCATGGACTTCCTGCCAAGACAACTTCTCTAAATACAAAACAGTGTCTTACACATGTTCCACAGCCCTCACTGAGAAACTGCGACATGGAGGCACAGCGGAGAATCACAGGAGACAGCCGCACCTTGTTAACGAAGGTGCCAAGCCTCCAGCACACGCTTTTGCTGGTAGAGCTCAGTGGAGTTGAACACTTAGTTGTTTCTTCAAAGGATTAATTGAGGCACTTACAAAAATATATTTACTCTCCAAACGTAGGCTAGAAACCAAATGCCACTACTTAGTCAATGTTCATCTGTCACTTATTGCTTGCTCATACAAAAAATAAGAAACATCACCAAAGAGAGGAGGCAGCCCATCTGGCTCAGTGGACTGTCAGTAGCTAAGTGATCTGAGGATCCCATCCAGCTGTTTCCTGAAAGAAGCCAGTGTTAGCTTTCACAACATGGCTGGGGAGCTTGATCCAGGCTACCATAACACTTTGTGCGAAGACGTGTTTCTTGTTTCTCGTTTTAAAGGCACTCCCCTTAGTTTCCGCCTGGGTTGTGTTTCACTGTGGCTCAGAAAGCCTAGGGAGGTGACAATTCCCTTCTGAAGAAAAATGACATTGTTACCAAGAAGGCCACACGCGCAGAAGAACTGGGTGTTGAAAAATAACCCTGCAATAAGCTTTTCACAGGAAGAAGACTGTAATAGAGAGTCTTCCTCCACTCCTTCGGAATGTGCTGGAGGCACCACCCAACAAAGCAGAATTTGCCTGCTCCGCAAAGTCACATAAGCTTCATACTGTAGCTCTACACGTCTCTGCAGGTGAATTTGGGGAGGTAGAAGACGCTGAGATGTACAGAGTATTCTTCCTAACGTTTCCTGAATCCACACCAGAATCAGTCTTGGCACGGTGTTTGTCTCACCTGCGTCCAATGCAGGAGGATGCTGAGCTGCTGTACTCACTACAGCACAGTACAGCTGAGGCTCCAGAGTGTCACATGATCTTCCAGGTCGTATCGCACTCATTTTTAATCAATTGATTCAATTACCCAGTCTAACTGCTCAAAACCATGCATGTCCAAAGTAATTAATGACTGATTAATTAGAAAGACCTCTAAAACCTGCAGGCTCTGTCTTTGAGTTTTAACACACTCAAAACTGCCACGATGTGACGCTGACATCACCCAATTCCAGGGAGACCTGAAAAGCGTAAGCTGACGTTTGTTTTAAGCTTGGCAGAAGAACACCCCGTTTGTTTGTTTTTTTTTATTTATTTATTTTTTGCTGCATCTTTGTAGTGCTTACAAACGTCCACTGTTTCACTAGAAGGGCCTTGTGCAAAACCCTCAGATAACTGCCATTCGCAAGCCAGAGTATGTGTTTAATCGAAGCCAGCAGACATGTTGAACGTTGTGTGCCTGTTGCACACTGGCACTGCTCCACTCTAGAACCTCCTCTGACAGGTACGTTAGCACTTAATTAGTTTACAGTCTACTTGAGTTACAGCTAATGCAAATAATATACCATAGACTATTATTCATTTAAAACAATTCATATAAAAATTGGCATTTCTCACTCACAGCTTTTGCTAAGGAGCCACCATGACCCATACCAGTCTCTAGGCGTCATTCAAAGCACACGAGACCGACCTCAGGCTTGCTGGCTGACTCGGATGAGCCAGAAGGCTAGGGTTAACCTCTTTGTGCGATAAAGGCACTGACACGGAAGAACACCTCGGTAACCGCACGCCGAGAGTGCACTCCTGCGTGGATAAATGAACTGCTGTTTGTGATCCAGAGGTGTATTAAACATCTTTCTGAACTGTGAAGCAAGAGAAGGAAAAAGGCCAGCAGTGACTCCACGGAGTGAAAATGAAAACCCTGGGAGGAATCTCACGCGGCAGAAGAAAGGTGGCGTCACTGTATGTGCTCTCGAGAAGCTGACCTTGTAGCCTGCTTGATAGCAGTAAGGGTGCAAATTACAAAGTGAGCTTCCTCTTTGGCTTGACCGAAGGGTATTATAGCGTCGTCCCCACCTGGGGTGAGGAGAAAATGGAGAAAATGCTCTCCTCTCAGACTGCACTGTAAGGGGGGGGCAGCTGTGTCCGAACACAGGTTGGTCACTCCGCCACCCAGGTCACTGCAGCTACTGCCACTTAACGGCCCAGCCGGAGACAGAGAGGGGCTGCTGAGGGGATCGCTGAGAATCTCAGAGGGACAGCCGTCTTCTGAAGAGGAGGCAGGTGTGCTTGTGAGGAAAGGGGAGAAGGAAGAGGATGATGTCTGCCCCCCCCCTCCTCCCCTCGCCTGGGGAGAGTGGCGCCTCTGTCCCGCCGCTCCCCGCCCCCTCAGACGATGGCGCAACAGCCCCTGCAGGACGCACACCTCCTTTTCTTCTTCTTGGGGCTGAAGATAGTTAGGATGGCTTCGTCAAACACCGCCTTCAGCCCTTTCTGCGTGAGCGCCGAGCACTCCAGGTAGCACTGGGCTCCAATCTAAGAACAGAAGATAAAGAGGTGGTGGGTGGGTGGGTGGGGGGGTTGGTGGCACGGCTCTTTCACCAGCCCACCCAGCCAACTGACAAGTCCGCTGTCCTGACAGGGCAGACCTGGCCACCCTATCCGCACGCCCGCTGTATCGTATCGTGGTTCGGCACTGTGCGGGGCCACGCTCTCGCCCGTGACGAGCACCGTGGGGCCACAGTGTGCGTCCGAGTGCTGTCAGGGGCCTCCCTCCACTGCCGAGCCCCTGACAGCAATCAGACGCACACTGTGATGCTGGGCTTATACAGTATTAGAATGTGCAACTGTGCTGGTTAGGTCACTTGAGAGCCACTAAATTCAGTTTTTTTGCAATGAACACCCCCTTACAGCAGTCCACAAAATCAGGTAACTGAAGGAAGGTGGCGGTAGTGCTCAAATTTGACGCAGACCCAGACACAGGGCCTAATCTGTTGCTCAACTTGGTGGCTTTTCGATAATAATGATGAGAAGAATACAATCCATATTCATGAAAGCTTTTTAAGAAACTTCTTTATTTTTTATCTGCAGATTTATCAGCAAACTGATATTAAGATCTGGAATAAACCCATCTATATAGGCCTTATAAACTGGTTTATCGCTTCTCCTCAGAGATTTCCGCCCTAAAACTCTGCACGAGTCTCTTCATTGTAGTTACAGCGTGCAGCGTATAGATACAGAATCACTGACCGCGCCAGTCAGCCAGACAAATCTGGCTCCTCTGTGGTCTGGCTGCAGTCCTTCTGTGGCAAACAGATAAGTTGAACAACAAAAAACATTCTACTCTTGCAAAATGTAGGAAATGTCTCATCGCAGTCTGCACCATCATCAAAGGAGTTGCGCCCTCTAGTGGGCCACATTATCAAGCACAGACAAGAACAAGAAGTTCAAGAGGGATTTTGTAGGATCCTTACTTATTGTACATCAGGTATGGACTTTTCAGAACTCACTGTTAGACCTTATGACTGACTGTTACATTTATGCACGAAATGGCCGTACTCATACGTTACTGCCATGTGAAGTTTATATACCCCTTCTTTGTCCTAGGTGAACAATACTAGAGTGTAAAGTTTAAAGTAAGTTGGGTTGGGAAAGTTAATTTAAGATACCCTACCACCAATTTGAATCTGTCCTATCGATTTATTATTATTAGTTTTTCTTTTTTCCAAAAAGGAGCCTGAAACCTAGCGTGGTAGAAAATGGTACTTCACGAATATGGAGTTCTGTTACCCCCAGTAGTGGACTGCTGTCCCAAGGCAGTTAGCAGGAATTGCACAGCCCTGCTCCAGGCTTTGCTAATTGCTGGTGTCTGCAGGAGCACACTGTAGGCAGAGAGTGAGGTCATCTCTCTGTGCTACCCTCTGAGCTAAGCATGTGTCATGTGTCAGCATGCGTAGGCTGCAAAGGAACAAGTAATAGGTTTACTCCATGCAGAAAAGAGAAGAAAAAAAAACACTACAAAGAAGGCTCCACAACTGAAATGTTGTGTTTTCTTTCTTCTCTTTTCAGCATGGAATAAACCTATTACTTGTTCGGAATGCCTATCAACAGTGAAACTCCACCAACCTCTTTGGCCAATTTGACTCCTTGCTCAAAAGTCATGGGCTTCTCCTTCATGTGCAGCAGGCGGGCCAGGGTCTTGGGATCATCCCGCAAATCAATCTGAAAGGCAAAAATACGCAACTGAAAAGAAAACCGTGACAGTTACTGTTAAAGGGGAACTGCAACGCTATTTTTATATTTTGGGTTTAAAGAGAATCAGCATTGATGAGTGCATTTCAAAGCATTTCAGGCTTTAATTCAATAGAAATATTGTTCTCGACTTTGATACGGTTTTGCCTGCAAATGTTAGCTCTGCACGCAGGTCACGTTGGAACATTTCTGCGATGATATGTCTGCGAAATAATGTCACGTTACATTAGTCGCTAAGGCGACTATTGAGCAGGAAGGGCGCTTCACACCACAGCTCTTGAAAAACTCTTGCTCTCGCCCATGGCAAGATCAGCAGTTTGCAACAACACACCGGCCATACAGTACCTTCACAAAGTTCACGATTTAATAACCCGTCTGAGAAAGTGGGACTACAGTTCCCCCGTAAATGTAAAAAAACAATGCTGTCTGATGTGAAACAGACATTCGTTTTCTCCCATGACACTGACCCATGTGAAATAGCTGATCACTGTTCAGCCCCACTCGACGCTTCCCCCAGCGCCCATCTGGGAGAGATGAAGACATCAGCCCTCCTCCACGTGTACTCCAGAACCATCTGCTTCCTGTTCGCACTACAGCAGACACAAGAGCATCTGGCTCCAGGCAGCTAGTGGAGCACGATGCAGGCAGTCATGCAAGGAGCAAAGACAGCAGGCACAGAACTAGGAGGTTCTCGGGGCTCACCTGCGTTCCGATGAGGATGTAGGGCACATGGGGCATGCAGGCCTTGAGTTCGGGGACCCACTCCTCCTGGACATTGTGGTAGGAGGCAGGGTTGACCACCGAGAAGCAGATGAGGAACACGTCAGTGTTGGGGTAGGACAGCGGCCGCAGCTGATTGTAGTCTTCCTGTTGCACAGAGGAAAGAGAAAATCAGAGCTCTCAGTTCAGCCCCAGCTGAGCCCTTAATGGGTCAGCACAGAGCAGACGCAGTTCTAAAGCTGGAAGATATCCACTCCGTGCGTGTTCTCTCTAATTTATTTTCCTCCCTTCTGTTTTACATCTGGAGCTGGAATGGAAACCTTTAACTTAATCAGCGCTGCCTAGAAATGGCCTGGGAGGTCTGCTTCCTGATCTCAGGGCCTCCCCACACACTCCCTCAGGCCAGGCAGGAGGGGTCGGGGGCTGCATATCTGAGGATCACCTTACTTTTCTCAGAAGCATACCCTCCCTACGTGAGCTGTCCCTGCCTAGTCCAGGAGCGTGGGTGCAAACACAAATCCCCCGCAGCGACTGACCTGGCCCTGTCTCGAACCCTGACCTGCCGCGCCCGGCTTCGCATGAGCCACCCTGCACTCTGCGTGGCGTGGCAATGGAGAAAGCAAGCCCCTGAGATACTACATTATGCACGTTCTGAAGTGTCTCCAGGAAAGCTAAGGGAAAGTCCAAGACCGGGACAGGATCAGGGAGTGTCCAAGCCGTTTGTGCGTGTTCTGTAGAAGAAAGAATCACCTCAGTAACCAAGTTGTTAGTGCTTTTAAGCACTGGCAAATGCACTGATTTTAAGCTTTCACGTGTAGTTCTCTTTGCAAAAGTTTGTTTTAAAAATGTACTGAGTGTTCAACGCTTTAAAAACAAAGCTTTTACAACTTTTTTTGCACATGAAGTTCCAGGGGAAGTCACATCTATCAGATGACATCTCTGATTCCACAGGCAGTTCACCATCTCATTTTCCACTTTCAAGCAGCTCCTTTTATTGAATTAAGGAGACAAATGGTTAGAGGACGAAAGCGTGAGGTTTACAGTATTGCCGACTCCAGGCTTCTGGTTCATCACTCAAGCATTATCGATTTCTCCATTTCTGATCAATATTTAAAAATAGCACCGTACAGAAAGATTCAGTGTTTTCCTGTTCTTGCCTTGCAAAATGCAGATGCGTGGATTGAGTTTGTAATCGAAAAAGGGGCGAGCGTGTCACTTGCACAGTGACAAGAAAGGGGGTTTCCTCAAAACGGCTATTTTGGACTTATGAAATGCCTGGGGAACATTGGGATTCTGTAAAAGTAATATGTTGAAGGCCCCCCCTTGTTTGTGGTTCACTGAACTGGTTTATACGCTTCTGCTACAATGGAAATGCTGACGTTCAGTTGGTTACAATTTTTCAGAAACTCTATTCCTTGCCTACGTCCCTGCTTGCGAATAATAAGACCCCCTATTGACTAGTAACTGCAGTCTGCAGGATGTCTGGAGCATGTCCTGTTGTACAGTTGGTGCACGCCAGTACAGAAAAAAGCCTTTCAGGTTTTCATCTCCAAACCTTGTCAAGGCTGTTTCCATTACCCCTGCCACACAGCCCCGCGCTGAAACGCAGATGTACGGTACATGGGGAAGCAAGGCCTGGAACATGAGCGGTTAAACAAGCTCACAGAAAAATAAAAAGATGTGCCGTGCAGAACCTGCCGACTGTAGGCCACAGAAACGAAAAGTTACAAATGAGAGGAGGCCATTGGACCCATACGAAGGTGGCACAGTGTCAGTTTGGGAGTGAATCAGAGCAGTGTGCGAATTTTACGGGAGAAAAGTCAAAGGACTTGTCTTGTGGAGTGTTGTAAATTTTAGGACACAAAATTTAGCATGCGCAACTGAAATCAGACAGTAAAGCACATCCAGAATTGTGCTGTAAATTAGAGCAACTGTATTACTTTTGGTGGAGATCAGAGTCAAACTATATTTCTGTCCGATTTATGTTCAATGCTACAGACTCCCAGGCAAATTGCGATATTCATTTCTCAGCATTGTATGAACGTTAAAGAGACCATTTTTTTAAATTAAATTTCGAAAACAGAAAATTACATTTGCTAATGGGGAGGTGAAATCATGTGTTACTAATGTCGCCAAGAAAAGCTGACAAAACAGCCCTCCTCACATAAAACATTGGAAATAGGCTGGGGAAATGTGAAAATTCAACAGCGCAAAACTGTCGGATGGAAATGACTTCGCACAGGAGTACAGGCTGCAGTGATTTTCAACAGGACAGTTTAAATATGGACGTAATGTGCCTTAATTTACTTCAGACATATTTGTTCTATTAATAAACAAAATGGGTTATGCTATAATGTCCTGATTAAATTATAGGTGCAACAGCTGATTTGGGTTAATTATTTCAATGCCGGATCAATGCTGCGATGTTGAGACAAATTCTCCAGAATTCTGGGTGTGAGCTGTGAATATTGCCCCCGGTATAAATCCAGAGAATACTGCAACACATTGAGATAGCAGGAATCTCACCCTAAACATGAAGTAGTCCTGCTGTGAAGAATTGTGGAGGGTCTATTTATCCTCTGCCAATAACTACTGTGCAATGCCATGTGCTGAATCCTGTTCTGCTTCTTTAATCATTGGGTATATGGTTCTGCTGACATTAAAATGAGCTAAGAGAGTTCAAATTACTTTATCATTTCTGTGCAGGACGGACCTTACATTCACAAAGATGAGGGCCTGTTAGAGATGATGACTTCTAAGGTGAAATGAATGATTATTCCTGTCTGTCTGTAGTGGCCCGTTTACATGCTGGCTAGCTGGTGCGCTCAGTGAACACACTTTTATTTCCTTACAGAGGCACGTGCTATGTCAGGTGGCACCTGTGATCAATGTCTAAATCACCCGGTTGTGGTAAATTACCTGTCCAGCAGTGTCATACAGACCGAGCAAGTGCTGCCTCCCCGAAACTGTCACATTTACTGCAAGAGAAAAAAAAAATGCAAGTGTAGGTCACGATACATACATACAGTATACAGTATGACAGAACATGAGAACACAATCAAATAATTGCATTTTTTTTACACAATGGCCCAGGAGCACGGCATTCTAGAACTCCTTGTTTATCTTTCTAACTCCTGAGGTAGAAATTAGTCTCTGAGCCATTTTGCACAGTTTACCTCTAAGACTGCACTGAGAAAAAAATCTAGCCATACGTCTTCCTCCTTCAGAGTGTTGATCAAGAGGCCCCGGGTCTAAAGCCCATTTTGGACACTTTTTCATTCATTTGTACATTCCTGCCAACAAAATTGTACTTTTGCTACTACTGAATAATTCTTTGATGTCTAACTAAAACATACTGTAAAAGGCTGACAGAAATATGCAAAAGCATGCGTCTAGTAACACAGCTGCTTCGGTTAAATTTGGCTTTACTTAGTAAAAAAACAAACAAAAGCAGTTTAATGCAGCACTTCCTATATTATGTTCTGTTGTCAGAACAGAAAAAAGGAAGGGATTGTGGGGGACACACAATTCCTCCTCCTGACACTAAAAGGACATCATTAAGACACAGAAAACAATGTGCAACAAAAGACAAATTACTGGAATGTAAACAGAAGTAAAAGACACCCTCTCACACACCTTTGAACAGCTGTAGTGGTGAATTCTGTTCACATTGGCTACATGTGTAATATTGCACCCTGTTGATTAACGATATGAGGATTTATTACTGGGCACTGGCATTAATAAATGGCAATTAAGAGCCACACTGTAACATCCCAGGCCCAGAGCAGTCAACTGTTTGCAAATGCTGCTCTGACACTCCACAGTTCTATTGTGTAACCCAGCAGGTTCCGTTTGTGTCATTTAGCGTAACTAACATTCTGAAAAGCACGTCTTCTCCGCTGTGAGTATCTGGCACACAGCTGTAGTGGGCTCTTCTATAGAGCACATCTGGATAATGCCACCCATGTCACGTCCACAGTTGTCAAAAAGGGGCGGCGATCTCTAGATGAGAGTGTAGGAAATTGCCCCCCCAACTCGGACGTCGAACATCACCACGGGGTCAAAAAGCCAAGCGTTCCACCAAATCTATATAAGAAACTTGCTCTCAAATCGCAGAAAATGCAAAAATGGAACACAATCTGATGAGTAACAAGATCTTTACACAGTGCACAAAAGTTTCTACAGCACTTAAGACTGGACAGTAACTTAACCCTGATACACACCAGGTCCCCAGTCTGCATTGCTTATTGTACACAGGAAGAATTTCGTTACTATAACTTTAAATGACATTGTGTATTTCTTTAAGTTACGATACAATAAAAGGGGGTAAGTTCAAGACTCAGTTCTTCTTTCCTGTGCGTTCAAGACTACTGGAGATCAGGACATTCCGAGATTCAGAAAATGACTACGCAAACCCACTTAAAATCAGCAGTACGAAATTAGAACACTAAATGAGGTGTTATTGTAGTGTTCTAATATGTGATGGCAGGAAGAAAATGCAATTGTACTCCAACAATTGTACTCCAACAGCAAAAAAAAGTTTTTCTATAATGCAATGCGTCATAAAATCCCTTTAAGGAAATCTTGTTGCTTCACTTGCAATTATGGACTTAACATCTCACCAAGGACCAACGTTTTTTTTTTTACTGACGTGTATATAATAGACCCTTGAGCTGAAGAATATCTGCTTCCCTAAGGACCTTAGTGGTCACAGCCACAGAAAGATTGCACAATCTGTTCAGGCAGCAATAATGGGCGATGCACGTTTTAGAAAAGACAGATACTGGAAAAGTGCAGAGGGCTTCAAGATGTAACTCTAATCCACAGCAACAAAGCTGTGTTTTTTTTTTGTCAGATGAAAAACAAAGCTAAAAGTGTTTGGGCATTTTCTATAATGTAACAGCAAGAGCAAATACATCTATGGATTATACAACAAGATTTGAAGTATAAGACAAGTATGTGTTTGCAAACACATTTTGTGGGAAGTTAGTTCTTCTAACCTATGCATGCAAAGGTTGCTTAAGAAAGGCTGCTGTTGTAAGTAGTGTTAGGGGACCAGCAGGTGGTGATCTTTCCTCTTGTCTAGAGTTTGCAAAAAAAACAGCTCCACTGCACTGTAGGAACTGTCTTCCTTTGGAGAGATGCTAAAATAAGGGTCCCGTAAAGATCTTACGGCACTGTTTGGAAGAGTAGGGATGTTGACTTTAGTGTGTAAATTCTACAATGGGCTTTGCCGATCTGGACACCCTCTTAGTTCAACTGGTGAATCAAAGGCTCACGTCTCTACCTGATCCGCTGTGCTGTGGGGCTGCTGGTGCAGAATTGCTGCTCAGTGGATGATGATATGGATTACCGCCCGTATGCGAGGGGCTTAGCAATGGAAAATACTATACAAATGCAGGGAACTAATCGAACTGAGTCTTAACTGACAATAAAAGTGAGTCTGATTCATTTTAGTTTATCTTCCCCAGTTAGATCAGCAATGCACAAGCATTTATCCACATTGCTGGTGGATATCTACACATAGAATATCTTGCAAAACACAGCGCCCGTGAAACCGTGATTTCTGTGCTCATCAGTCACTGCAAGCTCTGTGAACATAAAGGGCAATGACATCTAGAAAAACAATTAAAATAATATTATAATAATAATAATAATAATAATAATAATAATTAAAAGAAATGTACTTGCATTTTTGGGCTTCTCTTGCATGTTGAGAGAAAGACCTTTCAGAGGTAAAACTAAAAAAAAAGCACAATGTGAATGTACTGTACAGAAGCCAAGATACTCAGCTCAGCCTTTCTCCTTCACCTCACTGTGACTCATGCAGACAGATTTTGGCCCCAAAGAGTGCTCTGCTGTCATTTTGGCCTTATATTTAACCCTATTAGCAGAATGCAAATAATGCCAGTACAGAGTCACATTAAATGTGTCAATGAATATTCAAAAATGCCTTAAGATGTAAGTGAACATTATTATATTGAAGGATCAATCTTCTTCACAAGACTATCGGGCTATTGTTGGCTTATTCAGCAATGTGCAAGTATTGCTCTTGGCAAAGGACTGCAATAAATGTAGAAAATGTAATTATTTATATTGAGTGTATTTATATAACCTTGCAGTACTAGAGATCAGTGGAAACTGCAGTGGTAATCTGTTGCAGTTGAAAAAAGTTCTAACTAGGTGGAGTTAAAGCAGGAATGACACTTCTGAAACCTTCTGAAGAACAGAACAATTGTATTTTTCATATACTCTGCTACCAGAAACTACTGTTAATGTTTTAATGTTGCTTTAGTAGCCCTATACAATTTCTTGCGTTAGGAATTTGTCTTTTCGCATACCCCAGCTTGCTCTCCTTGAGACACAGACACACAGACAGGGAGAGAAGCTGGGGGTCAGAGGGCGGGGTCAGCCATCGTACAGCGCCCCTGGAGCAGTTGGGGTCAAGGGCCTTGCTCAGGGGCCCAACGGATTAGGATTCCTCTGCCGGCTGCGGGATTCGAACCGGCAACCTTCCAGCCACAGGCACAGATCCTGAGCCACAGAGCCACCGCTCCGCCCCTGAGCAACTATCTTGGATCCTAAGACATTCAAAGCCTCAGAAAACACAAAAAGCAAGTTCGAGACAAACTTAACCTCAGACTTTAAATTCAAGCCGAGATGGAGTTTGGCTACTCTGTATTTTTCCTCTCATATTGGCCACACTGGGCTCTTGAGTTTATATAGCCCAGACATCTTCCAGCTGAAGTAAGTCTTACTGTTACTGTTTAATGCACTGTTAGTGTTATCAAGTTAATGAGAGTCACTGCCTGTAATTAGAGAATATAGTGAATCTCTAAAGGCCTACTGGTCCTAACTGACTTCAGTGTGTTATATAACAGAATATATCTAAAATACAGACAAATGCAGAACGGTGATCTTCTCAGAACTAACAAAATTGATGCAATGATTGCTGTTCACTTTTACATGATTAATTACACTATTCTGTCTCTAAAACAACTCAGGATTCGAGAGACTCTAGAGGGATTTAGAAGGTGTCCTAGAGACTCTTTGACCTAAAAGGGGTACGTTAGACAGTCCAGCATGAGAAGCCCCAATGTCGTAATACTGCGATGTGGCCGATCTTGCTTTGACACATTTGCAGATAACAGAACATAAGATCTTGAAAAACTGAATTATTAGGTTGACCATATTAAAACTGAACACACCGTCCCACGGATTACAACAGGCGAACGTCGGACTGAAGCACAGAGCTTCAATGTTGGTTTTGTGTTCTGTGCTGAAACAAATTCAGCGAGGATTTATCTCTACCCCATACTATTCAAAGAGCAGAGAGCGTAACAGCTGAGCGCAGCCAAGTCATGCCAAATGAAGCACACTCTATTAGTGCTCAGACGTGCTTTACAGTCTTCAAATAATTCTACATAGAAGTCTCATTGCACAGCAGGTTGGAAGACAAAGGTGTCACTGCCTACATTTGGCAGCAGTGTGGTGAACTGAGAAGCAGAACGATTTAAATCTCCAGCACGGAGGAGTGTCTGGGATCTGGAGAAACTCCCACTGGGACAGCACTGCCACAGGAGAAACCCAAGGACCTACAATGGGGTTTTATTTTCTGTGCAAACTGAATAACAACGAACGAGATGCGTTTGCACTTACATAGCGAGAGTGTGGAGCTAATTCTACAGCATAAAATCAGACGGATAAGGCAAAAAGAATTCTTTTTAGAAGAAGGCTACCTCTGTCCACTTGGCAAAGTGGTTTAGATTTATAAGTTCTCCGTCGTAGTACAGCGTGCAGGATCGTAACAGGTGTTTCCTCTTATTTGTTTTTTTTTTTAAGATAAAGACGTCCTGAAGAAAAAAAAACACAAAAAAGAACAGACTCTGAATTCCCCCCCGTGCTTTCAAAGCAGTGAGGCAGGGCTCGGATGCACACAGAAAATCCTTGAAGATAAAAAGGAATCCTGGGGAAAGCAGTTACACGTCCCTACGAAGTATTTTTCAGTTAAAAACAGACGCCAGATATCCTGAAGCCTCGCTGGTCCTATTGCGTGTTTGATGTGGAGGCGAGACGCAATCTGGCAGACGTACAGCCCACTATTATGTTCTGCCTGGGGTAAGGGGGAGCACAACACCTTTTCATCCACTAATATCTTCCGATTTCCACACATTCATCCATGTGTTTTAAACAGCTGCCTTGGGACACGTTTTACTGCCCATTCCTGTCAGTTCGTGGCGCCAATGAAAGCATTTAAAGTGCGGAATTAAGGGTTTCAAAAACTCGCCGTGGAAACAAAAGCGAGGGTATAGCACTTAATATACCACACTGCTGCTACACACTACTCGTTTTTAGAAACATAAAGGATTCATTGTGTTTGTCTGCTGTGACACAAAAGCATTCTGTCACAATAGTGCCATTACATAATGATGGCGTGTTAAGCTTCTCCCCTACAAGAAATGTTCCAGAGAACAAAATGTTTTTATTCATTTATTTCAATTTTCTGTTCATAGCTGCTGAGCAGCTTTGTTTCCCTAATGAGCTCAGTGAGCCTCTTAAACAACAGCTAAACTGGCACTTCTGTCTTTGCAGCTGAGGTCACCAAGCAATCTAAAAAGTGCCACACAGACACAACCTTTCTCTTGTTTTTATACAAAGTCCAAGCTTCCTTACAGAGGTGATTTTCATCCCTGCCTAACTTCAGTCCTCGATCCCCTAATGTAACCCCTTCTCCTGACCCCTCAACTCGTGGGGTTGAAATCTGGAAACAGGCTCAATGTGACCTCTCTCACTGGCACTGAGGACTTTTGTTCCACACACGATTAACGATTCTACAGGAGTTTAAATTCTTGATCAACTCTCACATCAAAGAGTGAAAGTAATGTAAAACCTGGAGGTGCCAAACCTACATAAACACTTATAATAATAATAATTATAATAATTGCTTACACTTATATAGCGCTTTTCCTGGACACTCCACTCAAAGCGCTTTACAGGTAATGGGGACACCCCTCCACCACCACCAATGTGCAGCATCTACCTGGATGATGTTCTCAAGACAAGATCCACTTGTCTTGCTCTGCCTTATGAACACATAATCCTGCATTTATAATCCTCGGTTTGATGATGTTTCGCCAGGATTATCTCTTCTGTGTTGTCCAACATCCAACTTCTTTTATGTAACCTTGACATAGTGAGCATGGAGGCTGTCAGACCTCTCTTCCACTGTTGCACAGAATTACAAGGTCTCTCCAGGGCATGCTGCTGTGTAGGATATCTCCCAGACTCTGATGCATGCACAGTCACCATCCTCACAGAAAAGTTCATTTTAATGGTATTTCCTATGTGGGCTTCCATTCTGCATCACCAAGTTAATTGATAAACCTGTACACGGTCTGTCAGCCTCAGGTTTAGAACAACTTTCTAAAATCTCCTAGCATTCCTTGAAGTTAAAGCATTGTTTCCTTTCTTTCCATTTAGTCAAACTATAGTTGCCCTCTCCTTTCTTAGCTGATGTGTTATTTATTCAGCATGATTTGGTGGTTTCTTGAATTGTTAACAATTGTGATTTTAATTAAACGCAGTTTTGTATATTGAGTGACAACACAGTTCCCCATTGAAATGTGTTGACAGAACAGCTACAGATTACTGCACACTGTCATCACTGAACAGCACAATTCTAATGTTTATTAGACAACACAACAAGATCTAAAAAGCAAAGGGGCTTATTACATTAGCTTTGTTTTTTTTTAATGAATCTTCTGTAGTTGGAACTTAGTTTGGAAAACTGCAGGGCCTTTAAAATCAACTGCATGCAATTGTTTTTCAGATACAACAATGTGACCATTCTAAACCAAACCCCTTTTTCTTTAAAAAGTGTAAATTCTGCCATTAAATAGCATTGTATAAATTTAGGGTAGATACAGAAAACATTATTCTGTCCCGTCCCCCCTAAAAGAACCTGATTTTTAAAAACATTATCAAGCCTCACCCCATCCCTGAAACATTTCATCTAATTTAAATATGAACAATTTCCGTCAAGACCAGCAAAATGTTTATAGTGCTTTTCTTTTTCAAGATTATAACCTAAACACAGTATGTTATCTTATCTAGAAAGTTGATCATATTACTTATGGAATAAAAACAGTATTAGCAGCTTAGCCACTGTGTTTTTCTGCTTTTGAGAGACTTTAAGTTTCATAACTGTAGAAGAACTTCAATATTGGAACATAATCTTCAAGCAGCTCATTAAGGTTGCAAAGAGTTAATATTTTAAATGTATTTGAATGTTTGTACTAGTTATCGAAGCCTCTACTTTGAAATGTCCGATGGATTTCCGAAAATACATACACCCCCCTTTTGGGCCAGTGGACAATTGGCATAAAGTTCATATGAGTGGAAAAAAATGTGAATCTTTAATCCTGTGATTTAAATCCTGCTTTTCTCATATTCCCACTGGATCTGACATGTGTTCAAAAATGATGTCAGTCCTTCCAGGAATGAAGTGATACAAGAACTACGGTCATATTACCATATCCTCCCATCTTTCAGGAAGCAGTCCGAGACTCTATGACTGTGTATTCAAGTATGTCTGTCTCACCAGCTGCCTATCAGTTTGACTGACACCCAAAGAGCAGTGGAGCCCTGCACCCAGGCTAATTCTCTCACCCATCCTGGCACCTGTACAATACGACCAGGGCAAAAAAATACTGAGACGGTTCCAGACCAGAGCCAGTGTCCTGTCTGCCACAGAAACTTAAGTCTAATTTAATTCCCTATTTCTCTATTATTTCCTCTACTTTTTGTTTTACTAAGGCAGCTACTGATGTCAAGATTCTCAAGAGGAACAGTGAATCCAGATAGTAACAATATAGTGATAATTGTATACACGCACTTTGCCACTCTATAGAATAATTCCCTAGAAATAAGCTCCAGAAAAACCTGTACCATAGTAGCAGTTTGCAAAACAATTACCATTTTTGGATCTGTTTCTTCATAAGCTTTTTGACCTGCCTGTTGTATTAAATGCATGTTCTAAGATTTGTACTCTTAGCGTTTTCAACAGGTTTTGAAAAACACATAATTACATCAAGCCCCTGGGGTCAGACTGTGTTTAGGTGGCTGGCTTTTGTCTGCACGCTCGTTTGAGCTGTGAAAATAACCACAGCTTGTTGCTCTTGGAAAAAAAAAAAATCAAGGCCAGTGCAATTCAAAATATTTTCACAACAGGCTCCACAATTAGCATTATGGGATGCATTTGAGCGGTTTTGTTAATATCGACCCGTCTTCAAGCAAGTTATAATTAGTGGGACCCACTAATGGCACGGTTTGTTTTCGTTTGCTCTTCGGTCAAGAGGAAAGGCGCTTTTCTCCTTGTTACCTAACATTACGCAATGATGACAGCTGGTATTTCGTGTCAGAGACAGATAGCGGTACCCACGTCTGTCCGGGGAGCAAGTATTCCACAACCCGAGCCTTGCTGACACGGAGGAAATAAGATACTGTAGCACTATTGTGTGCAATCGCAATGATCTAATTATACTCCACAATTCACCTTTTCACTTGGACTCACCACTCCGCACCGCCAAACAATTACAGTAAGCCGAAAGGGTCGAAATCACGTTTGTAGGACTCGAACCCACAAATCGACCCCAATAAGTATTTTTACCCTTCCCCACTTTTGAGTGCGCCAGGAAAAGTCAGTTGGTCTAAAGCACAGAAAAGTGCATAAACTTTTTCTGTGTTTTGTTATAACCCAGCGCCCCCATGGATTCTCTTTTTTTTTTAAATATGAAACCACGTGTCAAGTTTCGCCTTTGAATTTTTAAAAGCCCTTCTCTAGCAGGCGGCCGTCTGCCGCCACCAGCCCCAGGCCCGGGTAACGTCCTCGGGCTAGCAGTTACGCTCGTCTCCCCCGTCCTCGCCCTCCGTCGCCGAGCCCGGCCCGTCCCTGAAGACCCCCTGGCCTCACGGAGATCGGAGGGGGGGGGCGGGCTGTGTCCAGGCAACCGCGCACGGTCGGCGGCACTGTACTCTACCTGCATAGTGGTCAAACACCGTGGGCACGTACTCCTCCGGGAAGGCGTCGTTGGCATAGCTCATCAGCAGACAGGTCTTCCCCACTGCCCCGTCGCCCACCACGACACACTTCAGCATCTTTTTCACATTATTCCGAAAGCTACCGCCGCTGCCATCTTCCTCCCTAATTTCCATCCTGCTTCGCCCGCTACCAGCATGGACAGAAAAAGTCGCCCGAACTTCTTCTCTCTATAATTATATTTTGTATTTCTTACTGCGGGTATATTTCGCAGCGCATCGCGTTTTCCCGGGAGAGGGGGGTGGTGGTAGAAGATTTACTTCTGCCCCTTGCGTTACAGAAAGACCGGTAAGAGATCGAGAAGTTTTGTTTTGTTTTTTTTTTGTTTGTTTTCGCTTTCCTCGCTTCTTCCCGTTGAGTCGAGGATCAGAAAATCTGCAAGTCTGCTAGCCCCGGCTTCGGCGCTGGTAGGACTGGTCGCTGCGAGGGCTCAGCGCCGGGGAAGAAAACTTCACGAAGGTTGTCACGGTTAGGCTCGGGAAAGCGTCGCATCCCGTTTAAAATCCTCGGCGGGTCTCCCGGAATGAGAAGAACGGCTTGGTGGGCGATCGCTTCTTTGTTATTTTGCGGGCTGTATCTTTTTATTTTTTCCTCCTTTCCCCCCCCAGTTCCCTGAGATTGGTTTCTGACCCCCCGATCGCTCTCCGCTGCTTCGCTACAGTGTCAGGAAATCATGGGTTTCCTAGCGAATTCCATATTAGGCAGAGTGGGCTGGGAACAATGGTAGGTCTGTGCCTTATGTCCAACACAGGAACTGCACCCGAGCTGGGGGAGGAAAATCCCAGGACACCGGCGCTGCTTCCTTTTACCTTCGGTTTACCCTCAAAATGGGACGAAACCGCGCTGGGGACGGGTAACGGGCTGTTATTAAGGATGGGGATTCAGAACGCCTGCCGAGAATCCCGTTTTGCGGGGAATCGACTGGATCCGTCACGGCTCAGAGATCTAGCGCCCGGGCGTCTTTATTTTTCTCCAGATGTTTGCGGAGCCGTTAGTTTGAAACTTGAACCGCTTCCTCGGTGCATGGTGGTTTCAGCCGGTGGGTTTTTAATAGCACCGCACGGAAAACTGAGGTCTGCGCGCCCGCCTCTGAAATGACTGCATTTTTTTTTTTACCAGCGTGAGAAGCCTTTCACGGAGCGTTCAACTGAAAGAAAAAAAAAGCTGCTGCTGTTTTTGGGTGAGGAAAAAAAAAGACTTCACCTTTTCGTTCAAATAGGTTTTTCAAACATGTTTCGCACTTTTATCACATCATTTACTTACTACCTACAGCTACGAATAGCACAGCAGGTTCAGTTCAACACTAAGAAAACGGACCGTTTATAAAATAAAATAATGTACGGAACTGGGGGGGAATCAGACTGCAATTCACCTTGTCCTGACACTATAGTTTCATGAGCACGGTGCACCAAAGAAATTTCAATGTGCACTAAAAACAAAACAGTCTCAAAAATAGTTTTGTACATGCAGCTGTAGTTCCGCTGATTTGGAGGGTGTGTGGAGAGCTGTCTTTAATATCAGCTGGTTTATCAGCGTAACGGGGCAGCTGCTGGAAGTCATAAGCAGTACTGTAGTTTGGACATCTTACAGCGCGTTTTTTTTTAGCTTGTAAACCAGCAAAAGTCCGTTTAGTGATATTATACAGCGGAATCATTCTTGTCGTCGAACAGACTTTACAGCAAATTGTGCAAAGATTAACACGTGGAGAAAAATAAGAGCAGACCCACCCACACACAGGAAATCTGTTAATATAATGCAAATATTTGATTTCGTACTTTATAGCTTATGTAGATGCATTCCAGGTTATGTATATTATTTATGAAGTAATGAAAGTACAATTTAAGTAAAAACAGAACAAAAAAGTAACATAAACTTTCAGATCACCTTCCTCTAAACCTCCCAGCGAACAACACGAGCCAGTATTTACCAGCGATTATTTCGACCCACTAATGTTATTTGCTGAGGTTATCAGAAAACAATAGGGTAGATAAGATAATTACTGCATAGCTGTTTAATTCACACCTGCCACTGACAAAGCCTAATTAGTCACAGCTGCTCTTAATTAAGCACTGTTAACCAATTGATCTCTTAATGCAAATCCAGTCCTTTCGGGACTGCGAAATATAGCGACTTGAATGTGGAATTGTGAAGAGTTTCGTGCATCTACCTCTGGGGTCCTATAGGACCATTCGACAGATGTCTAAATCACTACTTGTTGAATTTCGGGGGGGGGCAGTCTTGATCACTTCATCCCAAGAATGGGAAAAAAAATCCCAGTATTGTGTACCTTTCCTCACTGTAAATATCTGCACTACACAAACACATATGCCAACCTATCAAGTTTCATTTTTTTTGTTTTTTTTTAAATAGTAACATTTGAATGAATCGCGCACTTGTACTGAGTTGTTATTTGATTAATACGCAGCACTCCACCCACCCCTTTCCCAACCCTTATATCCAGTACAGCAGGGCTTCCCAGTCCTGGTCGTGCAGACCCACACACACCTGTTGGTTCTTGTTCCAGGCGAGCCCTCAGATACACAATCTGACCCCTCATTTGACTCAATAACAACTAGGGACTGGAAACAAAATGCAGATATTCAATTGGAGCAACTTCTCAGATCCACCAAGGCATCGGTTACCTAGTGACGGTGGGATAGGATGAAACACAGCAGGCACGTGGTCACGGTGGGCACCCGAGCCTGTCCCGGCAAGCAGGGCGCACGAGGAGGGATACATCCAGGACGAGACGCCAGTCCATCGGGGGGGGCCAACACGGACAAACAGTCACAGTAGGGCTAATTGTCCCACGGCAAAAAACCCATGTCAATATGCGAACTCCACACGGACAGCATCCCAAGCATTGAACCCAGCGCTGTGAATCAGCAATGCTAACTCCCGTGCCACTGTCCCTACAGCACTCTTACACTAATACACGTATGATCCAATTCAAGGGTTACTACATGTTTGTAATGCTCTCTACCATTTTCTCCCTCAAAAAACAGATTATCCTTTCCGACAACAACATCAAAGAGGCTAAGGAATTTCTACGGCTGACAGCTCCACACCATCTTCCCTTCATAACTAACCTCATTAGATCTCTCAACTCTAAACTCTACCAGTTTCTCACTACAGAGAAGGACAAAAAACTCAGCAGCTCACACCTGAAGAAGGCTCCACGGCCGAAACGTTGTGTTCTCTTTCTTCTTTTTTTCAGCATGGAATAAACCTATTACTTGTTCCTTTGTAACGCTTACCCCTTACAGTATTGAACAACATCTGATCTTAGGGCTGACTCCAGACTCCTGACTGAACCAAGAACCCGATTGGCTCTTACTCATATGATAACACGCTGAGAGCCGCAACTGAGGGTGGTGGGGTTTTTTTTTGTGTGTGCAAACTGTGATTGATTTCACGTGACTGCCCACAGGTGGAATTCTGAGAGAAAGAAGCCCTTCCCAAAAATCCCATGTCCCCCTCACGCGTGTTAGCTTACGTTTAGGCTACCACTCCTGGTATTTACAATTTCGGTAAGCCTGTTCTTTCACAGACAAGCACGGAAAAAAAGTCCGTCAAGTGAGTAATCAAGCGAGGGACGGAGGTCTGAGTCAGTCAGAAGTCCGCGTGTTCGCCACACTTACCAATGTGCTTGATCGGACATAGCAACGATTTTCCAGAAGTGATGGAGCTGATGTTCCAGATATAAATAAATCCCAGAGAGGCGAGACCGGTGCGAAGACCCAGTCAGTCAGGGAGACTGGCGGAGCTGCTCCCGGCTCCTATGAGACACACACCGTTATACCAGACGTCATTTTAATTTCACATACCTCTGTTTTCCCACGATCAGGTTCCCTAGAGAATTCTTAATTTTGATGTCCAATTTTTTTTTATCGTCAGATTTCAGAAGTGTCGACAGCCTGGTTTTACTGTTTGCTTTAGATGTTGAAGTAATTAAGAAGGAAATCAAGCGTTGCAGGAGATTAACAGCCTCGATCCTAAGTGTTCATAAATTAGGACCGGCTCCTCCTGTCTGTAACCCCCACAGGTCCGTTGTTGCCATAGACCTCTCCCTAATTGCAGTTCCAGTCTTAATCAGCGCTTCTCATGGGGAAACACACCTACCCATGTTACGCTCGGGTACCAACAAAAAAAAAGGAAACGCATCTACACGTGTGTATTTCAGAAACCTTTGAACAACAGTGGAGCACTGTTGGTCTTTTCTTCCATTTTTCTCTGCCTCGCCTGTAAGCGACAATCCCCCGCCCCCCATAATATCAAGGCGCTAGCTGCGCACCCCTATCTCCATGGCACCTCTACCGCCGCCGGAGAATCCGGCGCCTCCAGGCTGGAGCGCTCGAGTGGGAGTGCGCAGGCGCGCCCAGCCGGGGAGCCCGCAGTTTACAGAGCAGCGAGCGCCAGTGGCACTGTCAGAGAGCCTCGACCAGCCACGGCGCAGCGCGTTACCATGAGCTACTTCATCCCACCGACAGATACCTACCCCGACTGTTCCACTACCACCGCCAGCTTCAGCACAGCCTGCGACCCTGACCGACGCTGCCCGACCGCAGGATGCCCGGGGGAAAGAGAGGGCTGGTGGCACCGCAGAACACTTTTTTGGAAAATATTGTCAGGCGCTCAAGTGGTAAGGATTCCTCCCCTCTTGTCTTTACACAACGGCTTAAAAACTTGGGGGGGTGTTGTGGATTTTGTATTTGTGGTAGACTGGTGTTTAGTCAAAGGCCGGGCTGAATCGATCGGGGGAAGTCTGGGATTGTAACGGATGCGTTCATGGGCGATACTGGCGATTCAGCGCCGCTCTTTCTCACGGTGTTTGGACTTCGCTGCGTGTTAACAAAGTTCACAGCCCATCGTCTGCATTGTGTGCCGTGTACGGGATTTACACCAAGAGCTCCTTAGCCCTCTGACAAAGAAGTAGGACAACACGGGGGGTACATTGGATCTGCGCTTACTCTAGCCAGATCCCGGACTCTTTCCGGAGGGGCTGTCAGCCGCCTTGAACTGTTTCTGCGGTTTTATAATTGCTCACGACAATTGAAGGTCTGGTGTATTTAGGATACATGCCATATATATTACTTGGTACTTATTAGTTGCCGATTTCCCTGCGCCATTTGTTCCAGTCTATCCAGACAGCAGGTGTTGTGGCAGGTCCAATGCGGTGTTGTGCTAAAAACCAGGAAGCTGGAGATCAACCTGTGGTCCAACTTCTTAGTGTAACATATTTACTTAAAAGGCATTCTTGTGCGATAAATTTATATCCCCCCCCAACAAACTGTCTATCTCTGGCTCGTCCCACTTGTTGTGATATTTTCTATTTACCAGGTTCAGGCTTTTTATCACTGAAGCAAACACGTTTCTTTCCTGAGGCCAATACACCTTAAAACGAATTCTACCTGTAATTGAAACGATTTTTTTAAAAAAACGCATACTTTATTTAAAATATGTGCTATCTTTTTGACGTAACACGCCACCTTTCTCAGTAAGACGAAGACTTGCGCTGGTGGTGGATGAAAGACGTACAAATGTTCGTCTGCTGTTATCGAAATTCTGCTAAAATCAAAAAGAACTGGAGGTTTGTGGGTTCGTGTTGTTTTAACGGACCTTTCGGAGATTCGGTCGAAGTCGCTAATGATGTTCAAATATTTCCTTGATCATTTCGCCATCAATTTCGCGCTACTGTATAAACACAGTGCGAGTCTCGGATCTGCTATTAAAATTTTAATTTCTCTTTACAAGATGAGAAGCACATTATCTATATTACCGGTTGAGAATACTCCTGGGTAAAGCCAACGGTCTGTGACAAGTGAATGCAATGTGAATTACTACAGCCTTCACCGGCTTGCGATCTTCCAGGGGAAGACGCCGCACAAAAACAGCAGCACAAGCACTCTCCTCGCCGGCGATATCACGTTTCTGTGGCAGAAAGCTCGACGTCACCCTCTAACACGACTCCCTTTCCACTTCCACACACGGAAAACTTTCATCGAGTGGGCACAAGCCAAACAAAAGCAGAATTATGTGTTTTTTCCCCTCCTTCTGTAGAATACCGAACTCCACAGATCAGTTAGCGCGTACTGTATTGTGCTCCAACACGAAACGGGAACGCCTGAAACTCGTTCTGCAAACCTGGCTGCTGCCCAGCGTTTGCGCAAAGAGTTCACTCATCATTTGACTTCTCAAAACGTTGGATTTTATCGCGTATTAACGTTGGGTTTGTTGGAGTTGTTCAAGGTTTTATAGAATATTGCCCGTGTCAGGGTTGTTTGAAGTCAATTGCAATTTCAAAGGCCCCCTCAAACATGCTGCAAAAAAAAAACTGCAAGCACCCACTCAAACGAATTTGTTTTTGCAATTTAGAGCAGAGGAACTGGGTTACAGCTGAGGACAAACCCTGAAGTCGCATTCTCTTAGCTCATGCCTGTAATTTCTGTCTTTATGTGGGCCACCACTGAGACAGTAGACTTAAAGGGGATTTCACCTGCTTTCCACGGTTTGGCCATTTAAAATGAAGAAGACGCGAGAGATTGTCTTTGAGATACCTTTTCTGGAATTCTGAAGACGTTAACTGACCATTGGGGGAGAAAGTCAGATTTCAAACTGACGGCTGTTTTGTTTTTAAAAAACTGGAGATTACAGAAGTTTTCTTAACAATTCAAATAACATTATTTTCGGCTATAAATGTCGGATTTTCCTTTGTGTTCTGTCTGTATCGTCGGTGTGTTATTTAGAAGCATAAACCACTATACACGGCCGGTTATGCTCGCAGCCTCTCGGTGCCAGATTTCATTTAAGAGATATCATTATACAAGAGTTTATCAGGACCCTGTGTACATGATTGTTTATTTAAACACTGTGGTTTGTTACAGCTTCAGAGCAGAAGGTAAAGATTTCTAAACGCCGAGTTTAACATGCCGAAAAGTGACTTCAACATTTTCATTGTATTTAAAAGCACTTCTAAGACATATACCAAGCTCTTTGAATTTAATCGTTTCAAAAGCATTTCCCCCGCGGGTTCCAAATTAAAGATCTTTAAAATGACAAGCACATTACGAAACCCTACTAGACAACTAGAAGTCGTATTCCGACGGCAGGTAGTTGTTGACTCAAATGGGGTCAGAACGTGTGCAATGAGCCGATTTGCGGTTGGTGCTGCGTAAATGTAGGTGATCTATGTAGGTGAACGGGAAACAAAATGCTCAAGTTCCACCCTGTCGTGTCATGCATGGAGACGTTATTCAAATTCAGAAAACACTTCAAAGTAGATTGTGATTTTGACCTCTGCGAAACACGAGGATCTTTGCATAGCTGATATATTGTAAATTCCATAATGTAGGATACTGCAAAGTTGCTAGGTGTATGTAACTGAATTATTCAATGTGTATTTTTTTTTACTGGTGTACCCTATGCGAGTCTCGTTTTAGTGGTGAGAAAGTAAAGATAGTATTGCTTCCCCGAGACAGAAGGACACTTACTCTTCAGTTATTAGTCATCACTGCGTGTTTTCAGCGCGTTAAAATGTTACTCCTGTCAAAAGTATCCTATGCCTTTCTGAAAGGTACAAGGAGACTGCGAGAGACGAGTGAGCGGCTGAGTCGGGCGGGTGTCATTCATTCGGCAATCAGCTGGTTCATTTTAATAGGCGGACAGAGCTGTAGCCTACCTGCTGAAGACGAGAAAGACAATTCAGCAATAAAAAAAAAACAGTCTCTATGCAACTGGTTAACCGCTAGAGGTCAGATTTGATAGAGAGTTGGACCACCGTTTCGACACCTCGTGCCCCGCTTCTAGTGATGGCGAGAGGGACGGGAGAGCGCGCGGCAATTATCCTCTCCTCTCCAGTTCAAAGGAACAAGGCGCGCGCGCGGGTCGGCGTTATTTATAGAACTTCACCCACTCTCGCCTGATGGAGACAGACAGGAGCTCATCCGATTCCCTTTTCCAGGGCCGCGCTATCGTGGGTTTGATAGGTGGTTTTGTATTTTAGACCCACGTGCTTTACCCTGCAGGCTGGTTTAGCTGTACATTAACCCCGATGTGTTTTTGTTGGCTCCTCATCGACAGCCATCAGTTCAGACATTCATGGAAACCTCATCAATTTCTAGAGACCACGACTAACAGTTATGAATTTACCCTTTTTTTCGTGGGAGTTTGCTAGATTGTTTGAGATTCCGGCTAACTCCCCAATAGGCGTCAGACTATTCCCATCAGTTGCTGTAGCATTCTGCGAGCGCGCAATCTGGGCGTCAAAACCCTTTTCCGATCCAGAGAAGCTCTGTGCAGTTTACAGTACAGTAGACGCATACTTAGAGAAAAAGTCTTCTGATACATCTTGACAAGCGCGTGAGCACACGAGAATTACCTTCCAGCCGCCTTAGATAATATAATAAATACACACAGCGGGCAAACATTACGTTTTTATTTTTGCCGAGCCTCTAGGACTCCAAAACAACATTATTATCATTCCTATAGTACTCCAGTGCTGGTATATACATTCGGTCTTTTTTTTAAAACTAATATAGCAACATATTGTTTAGTTTGTTGTTATCTGGAAAACAGCTCGTTTTCTTCTGTAGATTAGAAACGAGCTCTTGGCATCCTTTTTCTTGGCATCTCATTTTCTCGGTCCCCGCAAGCGGCCGCTTCTCTGATAGCTGTGTGAGGGAGGACCGCGGGTCTCTGGTGGGAGCGGTGGCAGCACGCGCGCCTAGGCCACGGGCCGGCGCGCTCGAGAACCTTGCTCGCACAGTTTTCGAGCTTCGGTCCCAAAGCTGCCGCCTGCCCGCGCCCTAGACTCCTCCAGGAGCAACTGCGGTTTCCATTACAGTTTCCGTTGCTTGGTGTACAATACAAAGACAACGTTTTTTCCCTTTTGAAAATACTTTTCAGACTCAAATATTTGAACCCATTCATCCCCCATATCCCCCCTCCCGGCAGTTTAATACAGTTTTCACCCCATTTTTTTTTAAAGAAGCGTATTTCCGGACGTCTTAATGGAAGTTTAAAAAAAGGTCTGCGATTCAGGAGTACAAAATATCCCCACAGAAAATCAGTCTGCTCTCCAGGCTGCTGTCTCAGGGAACAGACATTATGGAAAGTAGCCTTGCAGGTCTGCAATCTGCAATCACTTAGCCAGTGTTTCATTCTCATTTTGAAAAAAAACGTTGTGTGAGCTAATGAGGGTCCCCTGCATTTAAGAAATGTATTGGGGTATCAGTGATTCACTGGCAGTCCTGTATTCTGCCTTCTGTCCCTTTTATTGCTGGATTAGGCTCCAGCTCCCCAGTGACCCTGTACTGGATAAAGCAGGTAGGAAATGAATTAATGAATGGATGGGAGTCCTCCTTACAAGTATACATCCCAACTATCATGTGTGCCTGTGATTGGCTTTGAAGTTCTGTGAACAAGCCGGTGACCTGTTCAGACAGAGAGCCTGATGAGTGCTTGTTGGAAACTCACAGCACAGGTCCATGGCTTTGTATTCATCAGCTGGGAATGTGACTTAGAACCTTGGATCGATTAACTACTAACTAACTACCACAGGAGCTAGACGGGCTGACCGGACTCCCCTTTGCTTGTTCCCGTTCTTGTGATGTAACGGCTTCAGTTAGTGGATCGTAAGTACTG